CGTGCTAATTCGATAAGATTATGATGCAATTCTTTTGATCAATATCTCTCTCTCTCTCTCTCTCTCGCTTATATTTTATATATTTTATAGGTAAATGCATCCACCTTAAAGGGTTGTCGGCGTATGCGACTTGTACCTATTATAACGATTTTTTGCGGTACGTTTTCATTGTGTTCTAATCATTATAATAACAGCTGTACTGTCCACGTCAGTATATTACGGTAGTTAAAATAAACGTTTGAAAGTATCGGTCCGGTACAACGTATTAACCTACATTATACGAGGCATGCGATTTATGTATTAAACGCTCTAACCTGGAAGGTACCACACGCGTGATCTATTGTAAATGTCGACTTCCGCGATGATTCAATAATGTCATAATAGTACATATCATGTTTTACGAACTCATGACCGTATTATTATTAATTATTGACATTTATACTTGTGTGGGCGTTTAAATTTGTCCGTCCCAATTTCTAAGGAGAGTACAGGTAAATTTGCAAAGACACTAATTCGAACGGGATGGTATAATGGAATTAAAGGTTAAAATACTTTTGACGAAAATTCTCGTGGCATGGAAGTTAATAATATCGTCTCTTATCCTCATCTTGGAATATTTTTCTAAATTCACTCTAAAAGTTTCACGAACCAGAAATGTTTTAAGATTGGAACCGGCTTCTTCGTATTTATGAATCCGTCGCTAAGAAGAGGTATTCATTAAAACCTGGTATAATATTATGTACATATCATGATATGTGTGAGCGAAAAATACTTGTTCATCAGTATACTATTATGTATATTTTAATTATATGTTTAATTTATAACAAACCGTATTTACGAAAGCACGCACTATACTAACAGTTTTTTTTTAATACGAAAATAAAAATGCAATCGGTGCGATTTGAGTAGCTTAGAATTTGCGGGAGGTATTGAATGATTATTTTCCCAAAATTAGTATACATACTCGTATTTATAGATAGAATAGTGTATCACAACGTTCACTCAAAAATAATATTGGTTTATTTTTATTTTTTAATGAGTTCATTCGTTATTTTATATAATATAGCTGCAAGATGTAATACTACACTCCGTTAAAACTATATCTTTTGATTTATATGTATATTATTATATAATTATTGATGTTTGATTATTATTTACTGTGTTGAAATATAAAATTAAAAATGACGTACTATTAACTTTTAATAATTTCCAGTGCCTGGAAAATGATTAGTTTTATACTTAGCAAATCGTATTAGTATAAGTACAAGTTCACTTACTCAAAAAAAAAGAAAAAAAAAATCATCAACGATGTGTAAAAAATAATTATAAGTTATGATAGTCTCATTCGCCTATAAACATAAAACGTGATCGTACGTATAGTTGGTAAACCGCAAATTTTATAGTGCTTCAGTCAATAACATAATGATATTTTTTTTTTTTTTTTTATTGAATTTGAAAACTGTTTTGGCTTTAACTTTTTACTCAGTTTTATTATCACTATATTATTTCTCATTTTCGTTTTAGTTTAAAAATAATTCATTTTGATGAATTTAGAAAAGAAATGAGCATAATATTTAAACTTCGTGTTATATGAGTGTATATTTCTGGTTGAATACACAATGACGGTAATTTATTACATTTTCGGTTGGAAAATAGCTAAATAAAATTAAACAACAATGGAATAGCACGCAGTATATCATATTATGCATATAGGGTTTTTTATGGACAAGGGTTTCTCTTAAGTATATGTAGTGTATTTTCCGAATTTTATTTTTTAATAACAAAAGCTATATTATAATTATACCGTGACGTGAGATATTATAAAATGTATTATTTAGAAGTTCTGATGTAACTCAAAGCTAATTAGGTATTTATTTACACAGGTGGAATACACCTGTTCCTACTGCAGGAACATATAAAGTGTATACGTTTAGTAAAAAGCGTTAAGATTTGATGGCATCTTAAAATAAATAACTTTTTTTTTATTAGTCTTTTAGTGTACAAATAATATCTAAATAAATAACGGTTACAAATAAGAATAATAAATTACTTAAAATATAGTTATTTACCTTTCATCCGATCATAAGTTTAAAAATCTATTTCAAAGATTTTGAATGACTTGCAAATTTTAAAAATGGATTTATAATATATTCAGAATAGACTGGCATCCATTATGAAGTTGTAGAACAACTTAGGCATAAGTTATCTGAAGTTAGCCTTTTTCCAGTTCACCTTAAGCGTAACAGACAGGTTTTGACTTGCAAATGATTAAATTGTTCAAGGCAAAATATTGATGAAGGTTTTAACTTTGTAAGTTCAAATCTGTGGATCGACCTAAATAAACTTCTTTTTTTATACCGGAATTCAGTGTTGTTCACACATCATAGAAAAAAAGTAAAAACAAAATTGTGATGATGCCGGCCATTCCCACACTGAACGGGTTCACTTTTTCGGGGACAGGAGTGGAATGTGGTAATGTTTTTGATCAAAAAAAGTAATGGTCATCCTATTCGAAAAACAGTTATGAGCAGAGTTACGAAGTTCTTCATAATTTCCATTCGAAAATTGACTGAGGCATTTCAACACAGAATTATACGTAGGCTAACACGTTGCTTATTTCGTACTTCTCTGTGAAAAGTAAGATCTTGCCGAATTCTCCGACCACAGGCGAACAATTTCGAGGACACTCGTCATTAAAAAAAAAAAAAAAATATAAGATATGGTGATTTCATTAGAATTGAAAGAATGTTGGATAATTTTAACGAAGTGGATAATCAAGAGTAATCATCACTCGCGTTATTAATTTTTTTCCGCTGGTCGACGAGCCGTTCGCGTGCAATCTTGTTCTCTTGTCGAATTTAAACCGATTGAACCGCCATCGGTCGCCGATAAATAACGTTATTCGCGACCGTGCATTCGCGCAGATGACTGATACGGCAAAGAAATGTTAACGGATTTTATTATACCAAAAACAACGATGATAATAAAACCGACGGCTCTGACCGCGGTTACTTACTGCAGTTATGCAATCCGTTTGTACAGCATCGTTTCGCGTGAAAACTCACTTGACCCTAATTAAGTGGCTCCGGTTACCGATCGCCGCTGGTCGCCGGTACAGACCTGTACGAAAAGGTGTACGTAGTACACCGTTATTGTAATTATCAATATTCTGTTTTACGCGAACGCGTATGCGTTATGTGTACTCGTACGTATCAGTGGAAATGTTTGCGCGCCGAACTGGTCCGGTCCGGTGTGTGAGATAACGCGCGAGCGCACTTCGCGACGGTTATGTAAATAACTATTAGCTGTGTGCACGTACTCACGTAATCTTGTTGACGGGAAAAAAAAACCACCCGTATCCTACCCCTGGGGCCGTGAACGTACGGCGCGCGTCAGACGCGTTTCCGAATCGCGTTCAACGAGTTACGGTATAGTGACAGTGGACCGCGGTGACGATAAAATGTGTACGCTAAAACGATTTTTTTATTTATTGAAATAAAAACCGCAAAGTTGGCCCAAGTGCGGAGTAGTGTATATGACAAATACGATGACGTAATTTATTCGTAAGCTCCAATAACTCCAATGCCGATTATTACAGCACGTCCCCCAACCACCCACCGGTGCGAACACTACGGTCTCGCGGTCCGGTGTCGACCAAGAGGCTGCCGACCGGTGCGCGCGAACCCATCGCCGAGGATCGTAGGATTACAGTCGGCGCGAGCAGGGCCGTAGCAAGGGGGTGGCGAGAAGTGCCCCGGACGCGATTCCCGGGAGAGCGCGAAAATGAAAATCTTGCATTTAATGTTAAAAACTACAACGGTCGATGTCGTATATTTCGTCTATGTTTATATATTTCATATTAATCGAAGCAATCGTTGAAAATTATATCTAATAAGCGTAATATGTTTAAATGGAAAACACGTAAGGGCGAATTTCGAAGTTTCGCCCCGGGCGCAATGTTTGGTCGCTACGGCACCGGGCGCGTGGAGGTGTCTGGGGTTTTGTAACGTTGATCGGGTTCCGTGCATCGTCGTGCCGGCACGCGTTTCGCACGATTTCATTTGTCGCGCGGACATACGAATATTATACGGCATTGTAATCGGGTTTGCAGCGCGTGTTACGCAACGACGTTCGCGAAAACGATTTCGACACACCGATCATCGGTCCGGCGTGAACCGGGCCGGGGCGCGATTGAATAAGGACGCGCACGGCGAGCACGTACACGTGATACGGTCGTGGACGCAGCGAGAGGGATGCAAACGGGTACGCTCGCGGCCCTCCGGATTCGGAAGAAAAATGAACATTTGGAAACGTGACGGACAACGAGGCTATCGGACACATCCGTTTCCGAGAGAACAGTTTTCGACGACGAGTCACATGCGTTTGTTCGCACGTATCACGCGATGCGTCGCGCCCGATTCGATCGCGTCGACGGCGTCCGCGTCGGTCGGACGTCAATACTGTTTCCGACACGTCCGACTGGCAGACCGTTGCCGCGGTACGTTGTTCGCGGGCGCGTTGCAATAACGGTGCACCCGTTGACGGCGTTCGTCGACCACGACAATATGTCGACCGCAGTGCGTGCCAACGGAATCCGAAAGCGTAATCTTTTTCGACTTGGTTCGCTGCCGTGTTCGTTTTGTACGAACGTAAATATTACGTCGAGAAATAGCAAGGAGCAGAGAGAGAGAGAGAGAGAGAGAAATAATGAAAATAAAAATTTCGAAGAAAAATAAACTTTATTCTGTACGTTGCATTACATATCAGCACATAATCGTGTCTCGTAACGGTTTCCTTTTGTCTAGCTTAACTTCGAAAAGAAAAGAAGCGTCGGGTGCATTATATACAAGGGTAAAAGTCAAGAAAAATAAAAATTCATTAAAGGTCGTAAAAAAAAAAAAAAAAAATAAATAAAAAAATATAAACAAAAAAAAACTTAGTCGTTAATAATAGGGGGAAGAAAAAAGTTTTTTTGAATTATTTCATCGCGCGTGATTGAAATAAATTTTGATTTCGGTTTCGACTTATCGTATTAACAAAACAAAAATAATAAAAATAAACAAGGAATATAACAAATCAGTGGTAACCGTTTGGTGGTCTTATAAACCGTTTGGACGATAAACACGCGCTTGGTCCGCGTGTTCAGTAGCTGCTGCTGTGGTGGTGGTGGTCATGTTCGTCGTGGTGGTCATAACTTTTGACCGGGTACGGCACTGGGACTTCGACCTTGACCGGAACTTTGACCGGATACGGGACGGGCTTCTCGACCGCGTAGGGCACGGGCTTCTCGACCGGATACGGGATGTGCTTCTCGACGGTGACCGGGTACGGGCGGTCGACCGGTACTTTGACCGGGTACGGCACCGGTTTCTCGACCGGGTACGGCACGTGCTTCTCTACCGGTACGTGCACGGGGTACGGTCTGTCCACGGGCACTTTGACGGGGTATGGGACGTGTTTCTCGACCGGGTACGGGACGTGCTTCTCGACGTACACCGGGTACGGTTTGGGCACGTGCACCGGATACGGCCTGTCCACGGGCACCTTGACGGCCACGGGGACCTCCTTGACGACAGGGTACGGCTGCGGCACGGCTACCTTGACCGGGTACGGGACCGGTTTCTCCACGTGCACCGGGTACGGTTTGGGCACATGCACCGGGTACGGGCGGTCCACGGGCACGGCCACTTTGACCGGGTACGGGACGTGCTTCTCGACGGGAACCGGGTACGGGTGCGCCACCTCCTTGATGATGGTCTTGGACAGCACGTGGCCGTGCCCGTGTTGATGGTAGTCGTCACCGCCGCCGCTGGCCACGTCGTAGCCGAACCCGGACCCGTATCCGTAGCCGGTGTCGAACAGGCTCCTCTTGTCCTGCGTCTTGTCGTCCGCGGACCGCTTGCCCTCCGCGGCCACCGCGGTCTTCGCGTCCCCGCCGTCAGCGGCACGGGCCCCGTAGGCGCACAGCCCGACCACGCACACCGTGTACAGCAGACCTCTCATGGTTTAGTGGTTTGGGTTTCGCGCGCGTTCCGTGTTTGGTTCCGCTTCGGCTCCGCTACTGACTGCGCACGGCTTGGGCCCGCCCGTTTTGTACCGCGTTCGGCGCGCCCCACGAACGTGGTGGGGGAGAAGACCACCGCCGCTCAGCACCCGGTCCGTACCACTTTCTCGGTGACCGCGGTCCAGTTTGCCGCGTATCCCGTTCCCGACTCGTTCCCACCGGTGAACTTTCGAAACGCGCGCGCGTAGCGATCCGGTGCGATGATTGGGCGGGGTTACCAATGATTTTGGGCCCTTGCGTTCATTCCCGTTGATTTGTTTCCCCCACGAGAAACTCGTAGGGTCTATAGAGGGCGTGTAAGATTCAATTATAAATATCGTACGTAAATATAAAAGTTATGTATTATTCAAAACCATAATGAATCGTACTGCCGAATAATTGTCACTGGGTTTCGTATGAACTTTTCATTCTTTTCACAAACCTTGTGTTGCTCGTACTGTTAAAAATTTACTTCGTGTGCTTTTAATGTGAATTAAACTTTGCAGACTTTCGCATTTTTCAGTAATTTTCGATATTTAGGTCACTTTTTAGAGTATTTTTTTGTGTTTTTTAAGACAACTTTTGAAATTTCTAGCACTAAATTTGAAAATTTGTTCGGAGATTTGTTCACACCAATATTATTTTTATTTAAATCTAACAAATTGTACAATTGGTTCTCATAATTCTTATTGTATTATCGGACAATAGTTGAGGTCGAACCCGAGATAACGAGTGGTAGAATTATAAATAGGTATAGATTGAAATTTTGTGTAAATTCGATATACGATGATTTTTGTTATCGTACCCGCCGTGTGAATTAATTTTTTTAATTTAGTTTTTAATTTATTTTAATTAATTTTCTGAGATATTTTTTAAATTTTTTCAAGTAATTTTTATTAAGTTTATTAGGTTTTATTAAATTTCCAGCCCTAGTTGTTGCATTAGATTTATTTAATGCTCGTATACTATAAGAAAAACACGTTTTTTTTTCTTGGAGCGTCGATTATCCGCATGTCAATTATCCGGCCCGTCAATTATCCGCATTACAAAATTGTTGAGTACAAATTTAGTTTTAGCTTAATTTAATATATTGGTTGTATCATCCGTTGTTATGTTCCTTTTATCGTGTACATATTATGAAATGTATTATATTTTTATTCTATTTTTTTTTTTATATTATGTATGAATATTATATTTCGTATTGTAACTAATAAATTAGTTTTTGACTTTATTTTAAAATTTTCAATAGTCATTTGATTATCCTCACCTCCGCTTGGTCACAATTATTGCGGATATAATCGATGCTCCACTGTAGTAAAAAAAGATTTGTTTACGAATTCGGGGAGGCAAGCCCTGTGTCGTAGAAAATTTAAATGGGACCCGTCCAACCCAGGTCACTCCTGGCTACGTGCCTGGCGCAACGCGTCGTCACGCATAACACTGACGAACACACCGTTACGATGATAATCGTGTAGGTACTCGTTCGTATCCGTAACTTGTCAAATAGTCGTAAGAAGCGAATCCGATGTTGCATCACACGACGGTCCTGCACATCGTTATGCGCTTGTTTTTTTAGCCTCCCAGACCAGTACTCTGATCGCGTTCATTACGGTTTGTTTGTTTTTCAAAAGTCCAAACATTCGTATTTCGCCGCAGGTTACTGCGGTTACTTTCGGCCGCCCCGTCGTGGCGACTATTCGATTTCAGTGGGATCGTATTGGAACGGCCTCAACGATTCCGTTCGATTACCATAATCATCGGAAATATTCAAGGTCGACGCGTCGATCCATTTACGTTTCCTTATTTGCAAATACTTCGTACTTGGGCGTTTAAACTTCGTTTTCTTGTTCTGATAAGGTTTACGAAATGGCGAGATCACGTTGCGTCGTAGTATTCGCCGCTAATCCAGCAATCTGAAACAATGGGTCTTACACACAACAACATTACGACTAATTAAACCCAAACCATTGTACGTACGAACACAAATTAATTAAAACAGTTTTGATAATCCAACAAATGTGAACTGTGTAAGTGTTGTATGGTGTTGGACGACGAAATGGATTTGGTTGTAAATCTTATCTACGAATATTTTAAATTTTAATGAGTACACGTATAGATAATTTTTTTAATTTTTTTTTTTTTTTTTACATAACAGCGTACTGGTTAGGTTAGGTACACGCGAGTGTGTAGCAAACGAGAGCGATATTACGTCCGAAGAAAAACGATATCACGTTTACTTTTTACTATTCATTCTTCAGTGATTTTGGAGCAAAGTCGGTCAGCGACCTAGAGAAGTACAGGTTTTCTTATGCATCTCTTGGCCAAGTCACGGTTATAACATTTCGTGTACATAGCTTAATAATATGTATTATTATATTATTGTTGTAAAATACGATACCCGATGCGATTATAAAATCGTCAAGACATAATATAATACAACGGGCCGGTGGTTATTACATTGTGGATTTATTGCCGCTGTTTAAATCACCAGATGGGCTTTATTATTATTACGCTGTCGTTAAACGACCTTATATGACGCCTTCTCGGTACAATGGCGTTGATAATTATTTACATACGGTCGAATTCAGGTTTTGTCGATAATTGATAATTATAATAATAATGATTATCGTCGGATTAATAAATTTGTGACGATTACGTATTAAATGTAACACCATACGATACGATCGTTACATATAATTTTTAAAACGTACGTTATAGTAGTTCGACGGGTAAGACGTAATTGTTTAATAGGATATGACAAATAATTTGTCATCATATTATTACGATTATGTAGAAGTTGTTTTTCCATTCAGATAACGTGTTTATGATGGCAAATCTTATTAAATAGCCCTAACGTTTCTGGTTACTGAATAAAAAAGAATCTATATTATATTCTACTATGACAACCGAAGAGGAAGTATAAAATGAATACAATATATATAGTATTTATTTTATAATACGTAAGTTTTTTATTTCAATAAATATTATAACGTTTGAAAAATTGTTTTTACAACTACTTGTCTAGAAAACTTTTTTTTTCTGATTATAATATAATATATATTTAATATATTATATAAGTTCTGATTTTGGTTGACATAGTCTGTACAATTAAGAAAAACGTCAACTAAATTGTGTTCCAATATTCCTTATAGATGGTTAGTCGGTAAATTCAATGATATGGAAGTTTAATAGGTCATATCAACTTCACGACCAGCTTTACGTAATTTACAACTTATTTTTCGCATAAAAATACAACAGGACAACTAAATCATTTTATCTAACAAATAAGATTATAAAAGTAATTCAGAGACGGTAACATTGATGGAAGAAAAAAAGAATCTTCAAAATCATATTATAACGAGCCTATCCCTTTTGCACGTTTTAACTTTCAATGACAATATCAGGGCACTTTTTTTCTTTGTATAAATAGTTATTATCCACAGCGAAACATCATTATCGTATTTTGTTTACGCAGTTTTTTTTTTTTTGCGCAACTTTTTTTATAATGTAATTTGATTTCGTAATCTTTGTCCATGCGGTTTTTGTTATTTATTTTTTTTTAAGAAAAGTTCGAATTAATTTAGTCATTTAACAACAAGTCTGACGGTAAATTATGTTTACTCTTTTAAAAGTGTAATAAAGGACGAAAAAAGTAGCAGTGTAGAAAATCTCAAAATCTCAATACACGCTGTGACAAAAGCATTGTGATAAACGACCCGTGCTGTTGTACGCCGTTGTGGTTTATATACAGTGCATTAGGGATTCAAGAAAAAAAAAAAAACTTTCTGCTAAACAAATACGTAGTAATAGTGTCAGAAAACGGATACGACAACGTTTTGTTGTTACACCTCGGACGATCGACTTTCGTGGTTATCGCGGTCGAGTACGGTTTCTCTCTTTTTATTATTATTTTTCGTACACACGTATCTCATGATCCTTTTTCCCTCGAAAATACGTCGACCGAATCGATGGCGAAACGTTTCGATAGGTTCGCACGTCAGTAACGTTGCGCAAATACTGGCTCACGTCACGATCATCGTCGGAAGTGCGAATCGGACTTTTAGACGTTGCGTTTTATCGCGGCCGATCGAGTTACTATTACTTAGTTGAGTTAACAATTTTTTTTCCACGATTAGGTTAACAATTTAATTGATTCACGTGTTAATCACGAGATTAAAATTAATTTGACAAGTACCGAACAAATCGATTTCCATTAATAAGTTAAATAAAGAAATAATATTGTTTTCGTTGATTTTCAATACGCTAACACTCATAATCGAATGTGTTCATTTCTTTTACTTCTGATAATTTGTCTCTTCTACGTTCTACGGAATCGTAAGGGACAAAACAATTTTTCTGGTTATGTAGAATCGAAACTAACTTAATCGGTGAATAAAATGAACACTATATTTTCGGTCAACCCAGGAGTAAACGACCGAAGTTAAATCGAACTAAACCCGTAACTCGCCGAAAACCAGCATTGCGTTCCGTATCGCTATCGAGTTGATACGTAACGCAACGCGCACAATACGTCCACCTAGATCAACGGTTCCCAACCTAGGGGTAAAATAAGATTTAGGAGTAAAGACTTGGGCTAAATTTTTTTTTTTTTATGTACTTATTATTTACAAGCTCATATTATAATAATTATTATTGTTTTATTACGTTCAAATTATATTTATACAGTGTACTCTTAATTATTTTCTGCGAAACCACTAATTTCTACAAGAGTTCAAAAAAAAAAAAAAAAGTTTAATGTTTGTTTGCATAATACATTTACGTTGGCCTGGCACACGTGCTTTTTAAGAGGGGCGGGGGTGTTTGCTAATATCTTAGCCGGTTTACGGGTAACAGTGCCGCAAAGAGGTTGGGAACCGCTGACCCAGATGGTCGCACTGCGCCGGGGCGTAGAACGAAACCGATACGTATCGCAATTAGCATGTAACGATGTAATCGATGTGCACGCGGGTGGACATTTGGCAACAAATCCTCGCCGGGACGAAAGGATTAACGAAACCGCGTTCGTCTCCGTCCGTTTCCGATGCCTCCGCGCGTAACGCGCTCGCGTTCTTTCCGCTGTCCGCGCTCATCTGCGGCGGGCCGGCCGGACGGTTCAGTGCGCCCGCGAAACACACTTGACCATCCACTGCGAACGATGCAATGCGTTTTATTTCTTGCGCAATGTTTTTCATATGGGTGCGCGATACGGTATAATTTATCGCGATCGTACGCCGCAAACGCGCGTCGCAATCGGCTCGGCGGTAATAACGCGCGCGCGTGAAAGAAAGAAAAAAAAAATATATGCGTAGGTTCAACGAGAATAATTATTGTTTCGCGTCGAACGAGGTCTCCGCGCACGAACGTTTGGCCGTGGGTAAAAGTCGATGGACGAAAAACGTTTTGATTTCAAATCGATAAAGTCCAAAGTCGGTACGGAGACAATCAGGGTTCGTCCACACTCGGTCGTGAACAGTCGAATAACATCTATTCACCAGCGGTGTTCCCTAACCGGTGACGTTCGAAACGTAAAAGAATACATTTTTTAACCTTGGTCAGTTTTCGCACGCGTATACTAAACACGTATGTGATCGACTACGAACCGACGATTATATTTCTACCGCGATCGCCGCAAACGAATCATTTTACCGACGGTTTAAGTTCACCGATTCATCCGACGCGCAACGTAGTCGAGTTCCTTGAATTAAATACCTCGTAGCTTATAGCACTGTGCACTTTGCCGACGCGACGGTGTTTATGTACACTATCGTATTGCATTTGGTGATTTCGAAGTCTAATTAGATATTGTCCGTTATGTTTTAATGCCGTTTACGATTATCGTTTTGATTCGATGTGGATTGCGCAAAACAAATGTGCCGAGAAAAAACATAAAATACTATTGATAAACAGCGCATATTATACTCGAGCGTTTGTCGTTTGCTCCGTCGGCCTTCGATGTTTCCGAATGCTGTCTAAAGAACCTCCGTGCGAACAACCCGCGAATCTTGGTGGTGCGGCAGTTAGGTTATCGCACTCGATTATTGCTGTACACCCATTAACAGGTATCGTTACGCGTTCGAGTTGGTAACGGAAACCGATTGGACCGCGCTCAACACGAGTGGTTTTGCCGCGGGATATTAATTTTTATTTTATTTTTTTTAAATCGCCAACATTTGTAATAGTTTACAGATAAGAGATTATTCTCCTAAGCGCTTTGGCCATCAAGTCGGCACGGTTCGACCTCTGCGGTCCGAATTCACCGGTCACGGGCTCCTCTCCGAGTACACTCTCGCAAATGGACGTTAATAGAAAGGGACCGGGAAGGATTTAGACTCCCCACCCGAGTTGTTCGCGTACAGCGGGCAGAACGAAAACCCCGGGGTATTCGTTCTTCAATCCCTTCGGACTCGAGGGCGCTGTTCGCGTCGACCGAATCGCATCACGTCCAGGAGAGTACGGCGTCGCGCCGCGAGCCGCGACCCGTACGGACTAACGACCGGTTAACCGGCTACCACGTTTCGACCGACCGTAACCGTAATACGAACGCGACGAGTGCGTATACGCGCGTTAAGTAGAGCGGAACCGGTCACCGGTCCGCACACACGCGCGCGCACGTACACGCGGTGGTATCCAAACGTTGTTCTCACGGCACACGCACATGAATTATTATTACCGTTTTCGTACGCAACCCGAGCGAAGTTATACAACACCGGCGCGAGATTATCATCGGCCGTCGTTGTTTCACGTGTTACACGGCGCGTCCGTCGCATGTCGAAACGACCGAATGATTTAACGATTCGTTCGTTGAATATTCTGCCGCGTCGCGACACGGTGCACATTCGGAGCGCAGTACCGTGGGCAGGTGAGCGCGACGAAATCGTCGGACGTTCGTGCGCGTCAGTCGCATACGATGTTGGCGTACGACGAGCGAGGCCGATGTCGCGTCCGCGCGCTCTGCTACCCGACGAAAAACGGCCGCTACGGTGTTTTTTTTTTTTTCTACTTTTTTACTTTTTTCGTTTTTCCGTTTATTTTTTATACCGGCGATACACCTAAAATTATATATTATTTATTTATTTATTTTTTTTTTTCACTCCGGACGACACTCGAAAGACGAATGGTTTCCACTCCGGTACGTGACGTTTGCGCCGGGGCGTCCGATTCGATATAAATGAGAAAAAACCGGCGGACAGGCGCCGTGAGTGAGGAAACGGGGTCACATCGCTTGTTGAAAACAGACCAGAAAAAAAAATAAATAAAAATAAATAACGAATCGTACATTAACATAATATACAACGTAACGGGCGTTTTATGTGTTATAAATATGTATGCGTACTACGTTGGCACATAAAAATGAACTTTGTTGGTCTTGCCATTTTATTACAGTAACTTTGTTGTGTGTGTGTGACTTCCCCTAGCGGTTACCGTAAATCGCATTATCAACGAAAAGCCCGACTTATGTACTACGAATGGAGAGCTACAAATGCATTATTAATTACTATCGATTTCGAGTTATGACAATAGTTCACCAACAGCATTTAGTACTTACAATGAGATCTTTACGCTCAGCCAATTTGATTATCGTTCGTTATTCGATGGACATTTGACGTATAAAAACGTAGAATATCGAAAGGAAACAAAGAAGTAAACGTGAAAACAGAGAATCTTCAAAAAGTTTTATTTACTTACGAAAAATCACTTTTATTTCAACGAGGTGAATGTAGAAAACCTGAAATAATAAGCACACCGTATGCAAAAAAAGTGTTCAGCGCTCATGGAGTGATTTAAATATCTTAAACAATAAATATAGATGTTGCTTAAAAAAAAAAAGATCAAAACCAGTGGTGATTAAAAATTAAAAAAAAATATTTATTTTATATTTATTAATATATGTGTTTACATGTATAAATATAAATGTGGAAAATGTCAGAGTATCATGCACAGAAAAAATCGTTAAGAATCGGTTGAGTTGTGTATTTTACATAAAGTCAAACAGGATGACCGAGGTATGGTTAGTAACTGTGATGGCTTCCGTAGGAGTGTTCTCCGTATGAGTGTTCTTCGTGGTGGTGTGGAACTTCGTACGGTACTGGGACTTCGACTTTCACGGGGAATTTGACTGGGTAAGGCACTGGCTTCTCGACGTGGTACGGCACCGGTTTGTCGACCGGGTACGGCACGTGTTTCTCGACGGTCACCGGGTACGGACGGTCGACTGGCACTTTGACCGGGTAAGGTACTGGCTTCTCGACCGGATACGGGACGTGTTTCTCTACCGGTACGTGAACGGTGTACGGCCTGTCGACGGGCACCTTGACGGGATAGGGTACGTGTTTGGTGACTTCGTATGGCACTTTCTTCTCCACGTAGACGGTGTACGGTTTGGGCACGTGGACGGTGTACGGCTTGTCGACCGGCACCTTGACTTCGTACGGCACTTGCTTGTACACGGTGTACGGTTGCGGGACCTTGACTTTGACTTCGTAAGGGACGGGTTTCTCTACGTGCACCGGGTACGGCTTGGGCACGTGCACTGGGTACGGGCGGTCCACGGGTACGGCCACCTTGAC